GGGGACAGATCCTTCAAAGAGTGATTTATTAAATAGGTTTTTTTACAGCTGGTGAGATGATAATCGACAGGGACTTAAGTATTAGTGGGTGAAGTCCGTCTGGTCCGGGGGCTGTGCACCATCGAGGTTGACGAGTAGCTGATACACTTTGATCGCATCACATTTTAGGCTGTCGTGCAAGACTAGCGCAATCTGTGCCGGTACTGAAACAGCCGCCGGTTTACTGGAAAATACAACGAGGAAGTGCGTAGCCAAGGCGTCCGCGCACTCCACGCTTGAAATGAGCGTCTTTCCGTCTAAGCTCTCTAAGACCGGTAGGTCGCTCCCAGGTTTCAGTTTACGTTTCAAGTAGGTAAATATTCTTTTGGGTGCAGTTGTGACCGAGGATGCTAGCTCCTCTTGAAACTGCCGGCGTTTCTTGATCTTTGCGGCGTTACATAACTTACGCTGTTTCTTGTACACCGTGTAATCTTCATCACAACCCGAGTTGATGTATCTAGCCCAAAGTTTGCGACGCCGTCGCGCTAACTGTCGATATTCCGTATCAAACCAATGCGGTTTGACAGGTCCGATTTTTGAATACTTCAGGGGAACGAACCGAGTGTACAGCGAGTTAAGCTTCCCCTTCATTAATGACCAACAGGCTTCAAGTGACGCATCCTGTGGTAGTGACCAATCAGTCTGACTTGCGGCTTGGACGAGCCCGTTGAAGTCCGTTTTCCAATACTTGAATATCGGCTTCCGTTGATTGTCATATCCTAACGGTAGTTCTAAGCTTGCCATACTGGAGCAGTGGTCACTGTTCGCCAGAGGTTCGATGACTCTGATCTCTTTCAGCTTTTGCTCGCAGCCCGTGAACATTAGGTCCAGACAAGTTGCCGAGTGCGGAGGTACGAGCATCGGTTGGATGACATGTTGCGTTGCCCCGATTTCAATAGTCATTTTAGCGAATTGAGCCTCAATGTTGTCATGATCGGGAAGAAGTCGAACGTCTGGTCAAAATATCTTAGGTAAATTTAGATCCCTCCTCAGTAAGAACTGAAGGTGGCTCATGTGCTTCTGTACATGTAGTAGTCAATCGCAACAACCGTTTAATGGGCCCCGGTAGATAACACCCACTATTAGTTCTGCGCGCCTGAGGTGGATTGTGCACCACAATTGCTCGCATAAACTATCCTCGTTCCGATAAGTGCTGGTAAGTTTGCTAGATGGTGACGATTTTCTGTACAACGGAACACTACCGTGAGCCTTTGATTTTCGGTCGCATAGGAAACAAGAGTATCCTGACAACATGACTTCTTGGGGTATGATGTCGGAGTTCAGCCAAGTCTCTGAAAGTCGTAAAACGTCAGGTTGCTCCGAGACAGCGAAGCGGCACAGTTCGTCACGTTTGTCCATTAGGCTGCAGACGTTGGCGACTGTCACAAAGAGGTCCTGGGAAGTACTGCGGGACGTGCCTGGAGGTTGAGTAATCGGTTGATACGGGTTCGTACACTCTTCTTGATCACCCGACTATTTACAATCTGTAAATCAGTCTCACCTTCTTCTGTACGGTGTTTGAGCTTAATGATCGCAATCTTCAAACGATCCCTGACTTCGGGTTCCAAGTCTCGGGGGATGTGAACCTTTACGCCTTTCAGCCTTGACAGACGAGACAGTATGAGTTGAGACATATTGGGATTTGCAAAGGTAACTCTCAGAGGTCGACATGACTGGTTATTTTTCTATCCAAAACTGACTACTTGTTTAATCGTCACATTGTCTTCACCCATATCCAAGAGTCCATCGATGAGACCCTGGAGGAACTCAACATCGTGATCATAGAGTATCTAAGATTTTCATCTTTTGACTCTGGTACGTGGAAGACCATGAGATTATGACGGCGAAATCTGTGATGAACCTATGGAAGCGTGACTAGTGGCGCTTATCGATTTGGGTTATTGTTTACCAGCAGGGGACGCCTGAACTCGATTACGTGGGCCCTTGCGTTTTTGAGTGGTCCATGGATCCTCGGTGTTCAGAAGTTCACAGACAGCCTCTGAGAAATCCACGGACCGATCAGTGAAGCGGCACTTTGTAGCTTCCAATTGGTGGGGAACATTGAATCTGGGGCTCGGAAGGGGTCGAAGACGCTGGTGGTGGTGCAGATCGCGGAGTGATAATAGAAGGCGAGATGACAGCGGTACTTTCACGAGGGCGTTTAATCCCACCTGGTGGACGGTTTGTTACTATCTGAAAGAGATTTTCCCTTAGTTGTTTGCGGTCGCTACGTATTCTGATGTCTTGTACCGTGACATTTATCCTGTATAACTTGAACAAAACCGATGTCGGATATCGAGCGATTTTCGAAACACGTCAATGGATAAGCCAATGCACGAAATATGGTACAAAACATTACAGCCGAAGCACCGAAGTGCATGAGACTTATTTCTCATAACTTTCGAACACGAACCACAAGTAGCTTGAGACGGCAGCACAAGCTAGAGCAAATACAAGATGGCGGACAGAGATGGCAGTAGGGCAAATCAATGAGATCTCCGGACTTAGCCAAAGAATAGCCACCAAATTTGTACCGCTCGGAAAATACGCCAAAAGAAGAATATTGGTGCACGATTCACACAGATAAAATGTTGATAACACAGTAATCTGAGGTAAAAATAGTATCCAGCACACGCTGATCCAAAAATACGCGACGTCCGGATCGAAAAACGTAGTTTACTTGGTTATTTATTTATACATTCCTTCGTCTGTTCACAAGCAATTTCAGTAAGGATTAGAGGGGCATAATCAAGTCATTCCATTTCTGTACCAAACGAGATGTCATACGGAGGAGCAAATCTCGCATATTGTGGTTATCCAAGTTTGTAGCAAAAGGACTTTACTGGGGATGAATAAAGGAATACAGGAAAAGTATTCTGGAGTGTAATTAATCAATTTAAGTAAAACAATACAAAGATGGAGACAAACTCACAGACATAATTCCGAGGGGCTGAACCATCACCAGTGCCAACCAATGTATTGGAACCATCGGGAAATGCGCCACACTTAGATGATGGAGCAGCGTCAAGCTGGATGAGATTCACTTTGCCAATTGGTCCATCCGCATGTTCTACAAATGTGTCGTCATACACACCAGTAGGTTCACCTTCATCCGCATTCAACACCTTGACGTCTTGCAAGAGTTGCTTCGACGTTGCTTTCCCTGATCCAGCGAAGCTATCATCATCGGGAGTCGCATCCGTTGAGCAAGTTACAACGGCGTACGGCTGGTGGAGAAACACAAGACAGGTGCATTAAGTTAAGCGTCTCGGTGGATAGCAGGAAAGAACAGAAGAGAAAGGCATCAGCAGTAGGTCGACACTTCGTAGCAAATATTCGCTGCTACGTAACCACTGTTAGTCACGCGTGGTCTAAAGGATACTGTTAGGTCGTCCGCATTTATGCAGCATCGAACAGGAGGCCTTAGAATTGAAATCTAGGCACTTTTCGGTCACTGACCGAGAGAACAGGAAAGAGCTTTTAATTTATTTGCAAAAGAAGCAGATTTATACCATTTGGTTCAGGAGAACAGAGGATGATCAGCTTATTTAGACCTGGGCACGTTCCTAGCAGTTGACCGAACAAACCCCACTGTAGGTACAAAAACCCGAACGTCCGAAGCGGTGAACTTGGTACCACTGCAACATTGTCTCATCCAGTCGATTCAGGTGACGATCGGTGTTCAACATTCACAATGACTGAAGGCTACGTCCAAACGCGTACGAAGGAACATATGTCACCAGTACTGCACTCCATGACTGATTTCGACATTAGCTGCACTGTTCAGTACAGATAGTCGATCCGGAATGTAGCTTCTCGGTAGACGTCATTGCCACTAAACCATCAAGCCAAGTAAGTAATGTTTACCACATCGCAAGTAACAGCAGTACATCGGTTATTTGAACTGATGAATCGTTACTGCACAACCATGACGGCTTGCGGAATGAAGTTTAGAAAGAACAGGCACAAACGGATCTAATGTGAAATTTAAATACACCAAGTAAACACCCAGAGTAAAGATACCCACGCATTGTCAAGAACACACGGACACAAACAACTGTCTATCGTACAACGAGAAGGCGGCTTTGGCGAGGTACATTCCTTACGGCTTTCATTGCCCCACGGCATAAGCATTCCATGTTAGGTGAGCGATAAAAATGCAGGTATACTCGTGTAAACGACCATAACAGCAGGCTTTCGCTTTGTTGTGGTCATTCACTGAAGTTAGTTTTAATGCGTCATTTCTTCAACCCGATTGACTGGTTAAGAACGTTGTTTTGGAGTGCAGATCACAGTGCCATTATGACGCCAACCCTGTCACTTTCCGTCCACTGTGCGCAACGGCGTTCATTGGTTTTAAAACAACAACAACAACGACGACGACGACAACAACAACAACCACAACAACGGCAACAACAACAACAACAACAATTTGTAACGCACGGTAAGAAAACGAAGGCTGGTACATGCATGCATTTTGTATTGGCACTTTAGTACCATTACCAATAACCGATATGCATATTTAAGGCTAATATTGGGTACGGCCAGACAAGCTTGCGGTGCAGAGTGAATGACGGAAGTTCAGTCTCTACATCCATGGCGACCTTAAGCTAAGGAAGGATTGTTTTTGAACGCACAGGACTGACTTTAGTTGTTTGTAAGCTTTCAGCGCTCTGGTTGGCTTTTACATTTACGAGACTACGTTTCCCCATGAAAAGAACCCTGAATCATGTTCCCGCTCATTCGTATTCGCACTGCCGCTAGTGGGTGGACACAGTCTCGGGGCCAGACACAACACCCTAATCCCACAGATAAATAGGCATCAGACGAGTAAAAGTTAGAGACAGGTTGTTTTGTTTGGAGTATGTAGCGTTGAGTTGCACTGGGAAGCATAATATTAATCTGGACCGCGGTTTACTTTGAAGTAAACATCGGTCGGTTCCATCGACGAGTCCGTAACCGCTCAGTTCAGATCAGTAGAGTTGAACAACTGTAATCCGGGCACCGAAATGTGGTGGATACTGTTGTCATGACACATCGCCACATTAACGGTAGATACCAATGAGGAGACTAGATGGAACGCTAATGGCATAGAAAGGAAATGGAATCAATATAGAAGTAACAGAGACGTAAGCGGAGCTGAAATTGGGAAGCGCCTGCCTCAGTGCGGTCGAGCAGGCGATCGATCGAGTGGGCCAGTGCGTTTTTAAAAACACAGCTAGTTGTACATCACCTCATACTGGTGAATGGAACGTTTGTGTGCAGAGCGGTGTGAGTTCTTTCTCTGACGCGGCTGGGTGGCAGAGAGGAGAGGTAAAGAAAAAGCGTTTACAACAGTGGCGACAGGAGTCAGAAGAACATAAAGTCAGTCAGTTTTGAAAAATTGCAGGCACTTTTGCGGCCGCAGCAGCAGCAGTTGTAGTTCGAAAAGTCACAGACGCACTTGATCGAACTGCGATCACACAAATTAAACATTCAAGTAGTATGGGAACTGGAACAGAAGCTGACATCGCAAAAAATTGTTTCAGAATGCCAAAGGTTGCTCATCTGGAATCCTGGTACATATGTGGTCGCAAATTCTGAAGCCAGGGAACAACAACACTTCTGCCACACTGTCACTTCAAAAGCAGATGTGCCCATCAGACCTGAGGATGCGACGGTGGAAATCAATGGCAGTCAGATAAGGTAGATGAATAGACGCCACGAAGCAATACTCCAACCTGGTCCAGAATGTTGCAGAATCACCAGTGCTTCCCTGAACTTCAAGTCAGTCACTAAACCAGTATCCAGAGCAAAGCGCTTTGTGCCAAGCAGGAAAGAGAAGCATTGCAATCGTCATGGGGGGAGGGGGGAAGCGGACAGACAGCGTCATTTCAAAATTGGGAACATGGTGTGCGCACGAGATATCCGAGGACCGAGGAGGTGGTCGACAGGAAGAGTGCTCCACAGAAATGATTGGGTCATCTACGAGCTAATGGTAGGAAAGGAGAAATGGGTCAGGCACACCAATCAGCTGAGGCCGTACCACGGCAAGAGTCAAAGTCCTCCAGAACCGCCATCCCTGCCATGGGACATTCTGCTAGACATGTTTTGTTTGGAAGACGAAGCTGAGCGATTACGTGAACCAAAACATAAAATGCAGGCAGGAGATGACGCACAATGCAGGCAGAGCTGAAAGCGGAGACGATCATCATGGCTAGAGTTAATCCCCAAAGCGGAACACAGCCGGTCGCTCGGGTGCCACACGACCTATCATGCAGACCAAGTCGAGGACGAAGTCAAGCGCGATGGCTACAAGTCGACCCATTATCCCGACAAGAGGAAGGAGCAATAAAAGCTCTGAAATGGGAAGAATCAATGGTTATCCTACCTGCTGACAAAGAATGAATGACAGTAGTTATGGACAAAGCAGATTATCTCGAGAAAGCAAAGCAACTCCTGAACGATACTACAACCTACCAATACATAGAAACGACCCAACATCACAGCTAACAAAATAAACAGAGCGTTGGCAAAGCTTAAGCAGTTGAACGAAATAACGGAAGAGGAACGATATAGAATGTGGGCTCGAGGCTCGAACATTGCTCAATTCTATGGGTTAAGTAAAGTACACAAGGACGGAGCCCCCTTACGACCAATTGTGTCACATCCAGACGCGCTCATCTACCATCTAGCAAAGGAACTATGCAGACGCTTCAAGCACCTAATCAGTAAATCGCAACATCCCATAAACAATGCCCAAGAATTATTGACGAAGCTGAGACCTACGAATAGAGCACGATGAAACCATGGTGTTTTTCGATGTAACCGCCTGGACAACACCGGAGAGAAGATTGGGAACATGACGACCAGGAGCGTATGCGAACTTCTTCGTGCAAGAAACATTGGTCTTAGCACACGTGGATGAAGAGGGGCACAGCTTCGACTGGGACAAAATAGAGACCTTGACGCTAGGAGAAACACAAACAGGGAGGGTTTCTCGTAGCCTGGTTCTCAAACACGAACTCAATCAACATGCCTATCGACATCGATGCAAAATACCAACCGCTGAGACAGAGAGGGTTCAAGAGGAGTAACAATCACTGTTCCACACGTAGACAATGAACAGAATGGTCAATGTGAACCCAGACTGCTCACCCACACCCATTGCACCAATCCGAGTGAGATTTTCCCAAATACGTTACAACGACATTTGCGCAGCCAATGGCACTGACTCGAGCACGACCACAGAACACAAGGGATCACCAGTCAAAACAAGGCGAACTTAATAGCCCTGTGCCTATGTAAGGAACGGGATAGTTTTTGACAGTGTGCTTTCTAACAGCTCCTGCTACCTGACTGCTATCAATCCTGCACTGAAGATGCCACGTGGAATGGTGGCTAAACGTTTGCAATCAAGTTGCTCAGCTCGGCGAAAATCACAACAAATGTACACGCTGAAGAGGGCGGTCAATGGGCATCCCGGCGGGCCTGACCTATCCAATGTAATCGGTTAAACTCCGCTCAACACTCGATTGAGGCACCAGTGGGTTTCTTACCAAACACCAACGGGCGGACCTCAGCATTGCTCACCATGTGATCCCACCAGATGTGAGCAACATTCAGCAAGCACCGGTGACCAAACACAGCGAAGTGTTTAACGTTTTCAGCCCGAAGTGCACATATTTCTTATTCATACAATAACCCCGACTTTATCGCAGCGTTATACACGCAACCTTTCATTGGCAGACTGATATCACGTTGTCGCCATAGATGGCTGAGCCTCTGGGAAGCCACACAGGCCTTACTGATACGCAGAGTAAGCATCTCAGTGATATGATCACCAGAGGTGAGACAGCTATCAAGGTAAGTGAACCGATTCATCAATTACAGTTGTACCATTGACAGCTAAAACTTGTGCCGTGTTAAATCAGTCCAGTGACAATACTTTGCAATTTGAAGGTACAAAGCACATGTCGAAGAGTGAGGCGATACGCATCAGCCTATCCAGTAGTGCTTGCATAGCCACCGTGTCAGACCCAAAGAGAGCTACGTCGTCCGTTGTCCGTCGATCGCCTAGCAGCACTACCACTCCCGTACAGTCTGAAAGAGCCGGGTCATTGATGATCATTTCAATCATAAAGTTTAAGGAGATTTAGGAGAACCCTAGAGAACTCAGGAGACAGGTTTCCGTAGACCCTTACAGGCTTCGGGAGTTGCTGTGAAAAACAGCAAAAGGGAAAGCAGCATATATGGAAGACCTCTCAAGGATAAGCAGTACCACAGGTTGTCTCGATCAACAGAGTCGAAGTCGGCTTTCAAGTCAAGGTAAACCACAATACTCGGTCGTCTGTATATATGTCTCTGCCTTAAGACTTGGTGAAGACTAAATATATGGTCGATGCAACCGAGACCAGGGCGGAGGCAAGCCCGGCTTTTAGTGATTCCATTCTCACGGCGCCCAGTAAGTCGTGGAAGAATGATACCTGTGAGAAGTTCGGAGGCAATGGAAATAAGGCTAATGTCACGATAATTTTCGCACAATGTCTACTGATGCTTTTTGAAGATATGGGTACAGCAGTTGACAGTTTCCAGTCTGAAGATACCACTTCAGAGTCCAAAACAATGTTGAATAGAGCAGCAACTGTAGTCAAGAAAGAGTCACTTCCATCATTCAGCAAGTACGTAGGAAGGTCGTTAGGTCCAGAAGTTTTGTTTCGTTTCAATACGGATCCCTAAATGTTGTGACAATCGTTGCGCTCGGAGCGCTCTGGTATAGCGGTAGTGCAGACTGGTATTTTGTTCGTCGCAATCAGCCGACAATTCAGATATGTCGACCAGCTGTCGGGAAAAGCACCAGACGGCCGTTTCGCCCTATTGGGGCTCATCAGTGGTGCGCATCCTTCGGTCCTCTGTGGAGGATCGAATCCATGACTGCTAGTGGCTCTTGCCAACTAGCCCACAGCTTATGCAACTGCGCCATGGAGGACGGTAGCTAAATATCGTGAATTGTTAGCTAAATGCGATATAGCCCGACGCATCCTCCACTGCCATGCAGGCACCTGCCATGCAGATGACAGCGGTCGGCCTTCCGGCGTCAGGACTTCCCGATTACGGCAGCTATGAATCGACATAGCATTTTGTGGAATCCGTACGGGCGAATTGGTATTACTTTTGAATGGAAGGATTTTGGTGAGTATTTTGTTCGTCGCAATCAGCCGACAATTCAGATATGTCGACCAGCTGTCGGGAAAAGCACCAGACGGCCGTTTCGCCCTATTGGGGCTCATCAGTGGTGCGCATCCTTCGGTCCTCTGTGGAGGATCGAATCCATGACTGCTAGTGGCTCTTGCCAACTAGCCCACAGCTTATGCAACTGCGCCATGGAGGACGGTAGCTAACTATCGTGAATTGTTAGCTAAATGCGATATAGCCCGATTCATAGCTGCCGTAACCGGGAAGTCCTGACGCCGGAAGGCCGACCGCTGTCATCTGCATGGCAGGTGCCTGCATGGCAGTGGAGGATGCGTCGGGCTATATCGCATTTAGCTAACAATTCACGATAGTTAGCTACCGTCCTCCATGGCGCAGTTGCATAAGCTGTGGGCTAGTTGGCAAGAGCCACTAGCAGTCATGGATTCGATCCTCCACAGAGGACCGAAGGATGAGCACCACTGATGAGCCCCAATAGGGCGAAACGGCCGTCTGGTGCTTTTCCCGACAGCTGGTCGACATATCTGAATTGTCGGCTGATTGCGACGAACAAAATACTCACCAAAATCCTTCCATTCAAAAGAGCAGACTGGTGTTCCGGGATCGAGCCTAATTGAGCTGACCAAAAGTTAAGAAAGAAGGCGTCGGCAGTATGCCGGTACTTCGTGCCGACGTTTAGCTATCATGTGACTATCAACGATCGCGTGCAACTCAATGATACTGTGCAGTAGCTCGCACCGATGACTTATGGATTACTACCTAGACCCATTATCCACTTGGACACCTGGAGGAAAGTAAGCGCACTACTTGGAGTAGGCGTTTGTCCGCTTCATATGTGACCGACGTTCAATGGAAAGTACAACACGGTTCATAATGATGTTACATACTGCAATACATTAGCATAAAGAATGGTTCACACAAACTATGGCACGCGGCTCCTGATGGTACGTAAGCTACTACTACCGCTCGAGAGTGAGCCACATAATGCTGATCATTGGTGTTGAATTCTTCCGGCCCAGTACATCGAAGTAGATATATGCGATAGAGAGCTAAACCCGTGCGGTCACAACATGATTATGGGCAACACATTGACAGCTGGTGTCGAAACCAAGTTGCACTACATATACGCATGATCAAATAGCTTTGTGGTGGCAATGAACTGGATGCAGGAAGCGAGGAAATTCAGACAAACAAAAACTGATGATTCAGAAGGCGTTCAAATTTTGAAACGAACACAAGCAGTAGGATGGGCAGTAGACCACAACGTGGCAACTACGCGACATGTTACCTACCCGGACCTCAACACCCCACACAACCAACGTCGTCCAGCAAAACCCAGCCACCTCGCACGCAATGGAAATCCGTGGTAGCGTTCCACCAGTCTACTGGCTGAAAGCCTACTAAAATATGTAATTTTTCTCATAAACTCTAGTGTGCAGACGCATTTAACTAGCAGTTAAGATGTAAACAACAATTTATTGCGCCAACTTTTCCTTTACATACCCAGATCTAAATAGTTATGTTTTAATGGATGATTTCTTGGGTACCGTACGTAAAGACTAATTTCCTGTCTCCAGCCTTTATCTCCAAATTTTGGCAACCAGAAGGTATCACATACGCTTATTAGGCTATGTGCAGCCATACACACGTATATCTTTGACGTGGGAAGCCGTTCGCTCATCAGAAAAGTATGCTCTTAATAGTTTGCACCACCTTCCAAATCCGATAGTCCTCCACATGCTCGGGAAAGCGCTAGATTGCGGTTTCAGCCTGTTGGGTATCATCAGTAGTGCGCATCTATCGAATCCATCAGGATTCGAACCTATGGACACCAGCCGTTTGCACCGCCAGTCGGCAGCTGGTGCAACGAACTCCCGATTGATTACATCAATATCCCCTACTTAGGATTGCATTTGCAGTTAATTCAACGAAACACTATATCGTTCCCACACACCAGTTTGTGTTGTCTTAGTTTTACACAAACTGAACTGCATCCTCGGTAGCAATTCCATCAACTAACATAAGCTTATGGCTTATAACAAGATATGGGTTATGCGTTAATATAAACAGATCTGTTCTAGTATTATCCGGTATTTGAATTTGAATTTTCACGTGGCAGATTAGCGAAACGCTACTAAGGTCAACAGCACTGCAGATAATTGATAAAAACAATGCCACCGGTTCAAATCTAGGTGGAAGGTGGAGTGAAAGAATCAAAGGCCGCAGGATGCTGGACAGTACTAGAATGCTGCATGGTCAATTCATTAAGTAGCCCACGGAATCTACAACAATCAGAAGCCAGCAGTGCGGCCCATAGCTTTAAAGATCACACGCCTGGTTTGTAATCCGGAGGTTGCGATTTCGGGCCCGCGTAGGGGGCCAAGCAACATACGCAGTATCCTTAGTCCTCTCGCGACTGGCAGTGTTTACGTGGCAGCGAAGCGTCGATACAGCGTACCAGCGTACTGCTGATATCTCCTACAGCGTAGATTACAACTCGAATTACACCGTTTGCTACAATGAACAGAAATTGCCATAAGTCGATATTTTTAACCTTACCTTAACCGCGCAAAGTTAACACCAAGGTGCACTTTGAAGTAACAATTGCTGATCAAACAGACGGTGAAATATCTAGGGGCATTTAAGGTCCATAGTATAGAGTAGACAAGTCTGTTGGCTTCATAAAATAGAAAACCAAATCGTACTCTGATCTACAAGACCCCATTATGAAACTGAAATCATTTTTGCGTGCTTTAGACGAAATAGATCACACCGCGCCCCACAATCCGTGCATCTCGGAGAAAACGCGCTCCGTCGTTATACAGATGCCACTCCAAAGAGGTCTGCGCTGACGACTGGGCTCCATAGATCAATCGCTCTAGATGTAAGGGTGTACTGGTAAATAAGCCCTATTATTCGCCACATATAGCTACTTCTGCTCATTACAATGAGCATTTGGTTATCGAAGTAAAATAAAAGGTGAAACGATAATCCACGCAAATAAGTACAACATAAATGACATACATTAATGTCAGCCGACTCGTCACTCCGCGCGGATCGTGGCGTTGCAGTAGTGGATAGGCTCGTTTGCAGATGCTTCAGCCGCGGTCGCCGTTGTGGCACTGGTGGTGGTCCGTTGGTCGTCAGGTCTTCAGAGCCACCTTGATTCCGTGGCTGCATGGGGGTAGGTTTTCCGTCTGTCACCGTATTGTGTTGCATCCACAGCCAAAGCAGACGCTGAAACTCTAGCTTGCTGTTGTGTTGACCGAGGTCGCCTATGCTGGCTGGCCTTCCACTGAACAATCGGTGATCCAAACTTGAAAGAGTGCGGCGACGGAGGTGTGAAGGTGGTTCTCTTCGGTTGGCATTGGCAACGCCTCCACCGGTTAGCTGGATCAAATCAGAAAGATAAACACCTGTTGGAGGTGCGTCCCAAGGTGTACAGAACACAGTGCTCGCGCGACTGCTAGTGGATGGCGAAGGGTCTGTGTTGACATCTTGTTTCTCCGATTGGGTTGAGCGAATGGATGCGGAGGCAAGGGTTCTGCGACTGCGTGGAATCGGCGGTTCTGAGACAGCAGACGAAGACACTGTGGAGGGCGGATGACTAGAGGGAGCCAGTGGTGTTGACCCTAGAGTTAGATGCGAAGTGAGAGAAGATTAGTTGCCTAAACGGAAAACATAAGCTACAACGCGGCAGTACACTGCCGAAAGTTCTAGTTTTGATGGAAAAATGGGAAAGTTCTCCTACAGCATGAAGAAGAAAGCGGAAAAGAAACAGATGAGTAATCAGCAATTTCAACCAAATTCTGAGTTACAACGGCAGAGGAAAAGTGTCCGAGTGGAGTACCTAACCCGAGTTTAACACAGGGACACGATCGCCATTAGGCCAAACGCAAAATACGAGTGGGCGCACATAGGTTTGACCTCAAATGAAATAACAGGGAGTAACGGAGACCGAAAAATGAGAATGAAGATGGATCTGAGTGCACCAAAGCCTATACAACAACAAGCGTCTGAAACTAACATGCAGAGCGATGGATGGATGGACAGAAGCGTTAGGAGTGACGCGAGTAAAATAACTCGAAAAGCATCCAAAGGTTATTGGGAAGACACAGCATTTTAGAAATCGCTCGCACGATCATATACACGCAATACTTCTGAGTTGCACAAAGGAGCAATCAAAATCTTTAGAAATCGAGTACAGTTTTCTCCCCGTGATAAGTTAAAAAATTCCACCGACCCCAAGTGGGGGCCCTTCCAATGTGGCCCTTTTTGTCGAATTATTGACACACATGCTTTGGTTTTTATTGAGGAGATCATGGTTGCACCTTTTCTTTATTTTTATGCAGTAACTATCTTACCAGCATATATGCTGCTTAGTCTTAAGGTACAAGCCAAAGTGGGTTTTCGCCTGGCAAGCGTTCTCCCTATAAAAAGCCACATATGTCCATTTAACAACACTGTGACGTGGCGGACGTAACTCGCCACTAAATAAATTCACTGCCACTTGCTTCAACCTGGCGAAGCATTGTATTCCGGCAACTTTATGCTGTAATTCTGGGGAGCATTGGGCCCCTGTTTGACAAAGGAACAAACGAAAGGTGTATAAACTGAGCAATCATCCCCGGCTCCCAATGGGCGCGATTCCCTGAATTCGCTCCGCTGCCTTGCGGGCAGGCTATTCAGCCAGAGGCTGGGGGGGGGGGGTCCCCTAATTCAACACCTTACTTCGACTTAGGCAACCGGGTAGTATCTCGCCCTCTGAAGAAACCATGGACTTTAATGTGTTCCGTTGTGTTTTCTTTTACTATTTCTGTATCTTCTTTTGAGTCCCACGGTTTCTGATGGCTCAATGTCTATTCATAGGCTGTTGCAAATACAAGCCAAGGTGTATGACTTTGTGCCGCTCAATCCTACTGTCTATCATTTATATTTCCCCACATGTCCAAAACCCGGAGCATTTTGTTAGGAATTTACTGTGGCTGTCATAGAACACACCCATGGATCCCCATGTATTTCTGTTGGTGATTTTAACCGATCTGCCACCACTTTTTTCACCAATTCTGAGCTACAAGACACAGTAAACTGCTCCACTAGAACCATTGCGATTTGATATATGTAAACAGCGTAAAACTGTCCTTCTTGAGTTACGTGATGTCTATTCGTTGTACTACTCACTCAACAGTCAAGCAGTCCTGTTTTCTACTCTAAGACAAATCATAAGAAGACTGCTCTTGCAACGATCGCAAGTTGTTAGAGACAATATGCCGACCAGCAAAATGACGGGCTACGAGAAATGGCATCATCCACCGGCTTTACTTTGGTTTTGACGCTGATAAAGCCACGTACTGCTATCAGCTGAAAAGCAACCTGGATTGTTAAGGCTTTTAGTGCCCATGCGAAACTTCATCCGTACGGAGAGGTACTTTTCTTCCCATATGAAGCGACTGCGTAGACAAAAAGAGAAAGATTTCAGAGGTAGACACCACCTCAGTAAAGTCACACTGTCTTTATAAAGGAGGAATTGCGCCGTCTCAACCAAGTATACGTTCAGGTCTTACTTAGGAATAGCAGCTGTGGTGAAGTCTAAAGTATGGTGAAACAATTAAGCTGGGTAACTCGATTTACATCAACCTCTGATGTATAAGAAAGACTGCAGCTTGACTTCTGCAACTGACAAAACAATCCATTCTGACTCATCCCTTGCCCAGCCTAAATTGCCTGCAGACTCGCTGCCAAGTGTCCACAGTGAAAAGGCGCACAAGATACTGAAGCAGCTACACTCAAGAAAAGCAAGTTTTTCGAACGGACTGTCACTAGTTGTCTTCAAGGAATATATATATATACATATATACATATATATATATAGCACTGCCAAGTACGATATAATTGGCTGAATGCCACAAGAAAAAAATTGGTGCGACCGGAAGTATCTTTATTTGCAATGCGCTTCTGGAGACTCGGAAAAAGGCGGAGTTGCCAAGTACAGGAGGGTTGAATAAATGTGGAACGAAGAAGGTAGTTTGCAGTGTGGTATAGTAAAGCTTAGCATATCCGGTTGCCAACACCTTGGACGAAGAGAGCGAGTCCAGAGAGCAAGAAGCATGAACAGAGTTGTAAATCCATCATTTCATGTGCAGATGTCTTGGTCAAACCTCTAGCCACCCTATATACATTGTGCATTCAACATAAAACCGCTGACTTCCGGAGAAGAGTCAGTATTACACCAACACCTATGGGATCAAGTAAATATCTTCAAGTTTTCTACCGCAGTTAAGTCAGCTCAAGATGCAATGGCCTGCCTTGTGCACCCGGTTCTGTCATTGCTGCGCGATAGAATAAACTGTACGCTGCTGCACTTCAGAATATGGTATTAAAATCGATTCTGGGGTCAACAGTAACGAGCCGACCTACTACCATCAACACAAGTTATTTCTACCGAACTCTCCGAACCGATGGCAATATCTTAACTCAACTCCATGAAGACAGAGGGCAATATACAACCAAACCAGTGCACCTTACCTCATTATACTCTTTTGATTCCGTTATTATTCGTTCGCTAGTACCTAAACTGGATATTATTACAACGGTTATTTTCCTTAAAACCCCACATTGTATCACCGAAACATGGTGCACATCAGCTACATGTGACTCTCAACTGGATATTTTGGGTTACCAACTGTTTCAGAAGTATCGTCTGCACAAATGCGGCGGTGGATGTGCCATCTACATACGCCATGACATAACAGTAATCTCAGCTGACTAGTTAGCCTTCAATAAGTTGGATGATTCACTATGGTTGACTATTCCGGCCTATGATCTGCTACTGGGCTGCGTTGATAGACCCTCTGATGCCACACTACATGAATCTCAGCTGTTCATGTCTGACAGTAACATTGCTTCTAGCACTGCATACAAGTGCAAAGTCCTATGAGGAGAATGCAATCTGTCAGATATAAATTGGATGTCACACAGGCCTACATTAACCAGAGGACTTGCGAAAATGATACAATGTGCCTTTATCAATGGGTGGATTGACCAAGTTAAGTAGCTTATCAGGTTAGATAACATTCTAGATCTGGTTTTCGCCATGAGTATTCCACTGGTTTGTGTATTAATTGAAGACCGATTAATGGGATGTGACCACAGTACGGTGCTTTGCAAAATGAATACCAGGCCATCTGAAAAGACCAGAACAGTAAGGAAGACAGTATCCCGAAGACATCCTTTGTATGAAGCACATTTGACAAGCTGGGACCGATTCTTTTCCACATCAGATTCGGCCATAACCGAAGGAGAATTCGCGAAAAATGCCTTCATATGTATGGACACTCTAGCACCTACGGCCGACATTAAAATTTATCCATGGTCGTTTCCAAGCTAAAGAAGTTGAGATCACTGCACAGTAAGAACAAATACATCGCTACATTAATACAAATACACGAATCCTTACTGAAAACTGAACATCAAAGGCAACAGGCCAGAAATTCAGAGGAAACTCGAGCCATTAGGAGTACTGAGATAGTTCGTGCTCTGATGCAGTTACTCAGAAGTAGAAATCCGAAATGACACCACTAAATTTCATGCATACTTTTAAACGACGGTACAGAAACGGACAATATAATAAAAATATGCGATTCGATGAATTCTTACTTTGCCGCCTTTACTACGGCATTATCTGTAAGTTCTCCTCTCCTTTCAAGAAAATCAGAAGGATGGTACTGTGTACCAAATAACAGTCACTAACAAGGCAAAACCTACTCAGCAATCACCAACATGGGTTCACTACAAAATGTTCCTGTGTCACACATGCCAAGTACAATTCCTCGATCATTTTACAGCAACCCTGGATGTGGCATGGCCATCATCATTATCATCCTTCTGGATAAGCAAAGAGCATTTGACTGTATACCGCACAAACTGTTGTTGGCTGTTCTTGAATCCTATGGAATCAACAACCCTCTCTTGAACTGGTTCGAAGCATATCTGAACGACCGAACACAGAGATTACAGATTGGTCAATATTGTTCTACTTCCACAAATGTTACAAGTGGTGCCGTTAAGAACAGTGTTTTGGGCCCATTAGTTTTCCTCATTTACCTAAACGATACATGGGATTACAATAGACAGAGGATCCCATTTGTAATTGTGGATGATATCAAACTAGTGTACTCACTTCTATCTGATCACCTGGAACTATGGCTAAAGAATATACGTGAAGACTTATCATCCCTAAACAGGTTTTCGGCAGATAAATCCCAGATAATCTGCCACAGAGGCATTATGCCAGAAGGATCCATCACTCTTACTGGTACCCCCATCCCAACTGTGTATTCTGTTCGAGACCAGGGAATTGGATATTCGAGCAGCTTTAACTACGCCAAACACTCCTTACATCAAGTAGCAAAAACGAAGCAATCAACAAGCTACATTACTAGGTCATTTTCACTACCCCAAACACGAGTTGAAGCATTCAAACTCAAAGTGGTAGTGCCACAACGCATGGATAACAATAAAAATTTGAAGAGACATTCAAGAGAAGGGATGCGAAGGTTCATGCGTTGTTTGGGCAAAGACCTTCCCGGTTGCCCAAGCCGAGGAAGACAGTTGACTTAAGGGACCCCACCCCGAGCTTTTGGTCTTAGAGACCTAACCCGCAAGGTACCGGAGCGATTAACGTATGTCGCTAGAACATCCAAGCAGCCGCTGAATATGAAAACCGTTGACAGACAGGTGATGCACTCACCTTCTTAGTGTCCGGTAATAGTCCACACAGAAGCCGATAGTCAACAATGCTGTTCAACCGCCCTCCCTTGGATACTCACCCCTGGTTATGGAAATGAGTGGTCAGTGACCTTTTAGTCGGTCACAATGGTTTAGACACAGTGCCGTACGAGCTCTTTTGGTATTTGATGGAGAACCAGGAGACCAGCCCAGAACTCCTCATACTCTAAGACGCTGCCGCTGATTATCCGCGACTGCTTATACATCTCGCTTGCGAAGCAAACGGGACTTATTTGTAATTGCTTCCACAAGGAAGGCATTCCCTAGTCCACAATTTGGGGACGCACCCGATGGCGTACAAGTCTGGCATGAGGGATCATTATCCTAATGTGTGCCGGACTCGTCAGCCGGACAGAAGTACGAGTCTATATTTGCCTGAATAAGAGCTTATGGTTCGTCAGTGACTTTTTATGCAGTGAGACATTTCAATACGCCCTAACAAAGTAGTCCGGCAATTAAGCAAGCATTTTACGATACCATGGAATTGCGTTTTCCATTTAATAACCCACCGTTTTAAGTTACATCTGTATATGCACCCTTCCTGGGTTCATAAAGCACTTTCTTGACTTAATTGGGGGTGTTACAAAAGGGTCATGTGAACAGCGTCGAGACTTTGTGTTACAGTGACGGCAGCCCGCTCAGCTATGGCGATAGCTCCAAATGTGGTATTGGTAAAGGAACAAACCTTTCGAAAATCACATAGTCCGTAGCGGAGACAAGTAGTGCCTATACGTAACATTCGACCCGATAACGAGGATAAGCAGAAGAAAAAGGCACTAGAAATAATCCGGCGTGCGGAATTGAGATACCGTGAAGTCATTCGTACGCATATGCGAGAAATCGAACAATTGACCTGTGAATTAGTAGTTAGAGAGATGAACCACGCAGCCGCCAGTCGACCTGAGTACGTGACAAGTCAGTAACGGTGGTTTTGTGCTGTCCTGATGGACCTGGTTCCCTTAATTAACAAAGGTTAGATTTTGCTGTTGTGCCTAAATATACTTGTGGTAATCAGTGTTCAGTCTCAAGTAAAACAAATGAGAGGTGGATGCAACACTGAGCTTGATGATAATTATCCTTCGGAGTATCGGTTTTATCGAAGTGGAGAAGTCCTGAACGCGTTGAGTCCGGTGCAACTGCTTGTTATGTGGTTGGAGTGTGGTGCGCGGTACAGAAATGTGAGCAGCCCGCGAACAGATAACACACTACACCACCAGTTCCACAATGTGGGATAAAGTTGGAAAAGAAATGTAATGGATTGATCGTGTCGTACGTTAGCAATCCCGGAAAATGCGTTCGAAGCAGCGGCAAAACACCTCAGAACGCGCGCTTTGACGTTAGGCACATCATAAATCTTTGCAGCAAAGATCGGTCAACTCGTCAGCTCCAAGCAGATGGCACTGTTGAGTAGAGGATGAGCGTGCGATAGAGAACAAAAGCTCTCGTCCGGCAAATTAGGTAGAATATCACCATTGTCATCCTAAACTTGATGTGCGGTAGTCATATCGCAAATACAACGGCCAAATCCCCGATCGTGACATAAGACCCGCAGTTCGCCCAAGAAATAATGGGCGGCTTAAGGTGGAAGTCGTGCCTCAGGAAGGCAATCCTGCTTTCTGTGTCCGCTATTACGTGCACCGCAGTGAACGGATGATCACCAGTATATCACAGCCAACACGCATCCATGGCGTTTCACCGTCGTCACTCATGACTCAGTGGTTTAAGTCGTTAATTTATGTAAGGGAAGTCATAGGTCCGAATCCAGAAGGGTCCTGTGACCGAGCGCTGTTGACAAGCCCCAAAAGAACGAAACGCCTGTCCAGTGCTGTCTCAGAAGTGTAGTGCATGCCTGACTATAATGGTCCTTCCCATAAAATAAAACAAATCCCCATAAAAGTCTGTGATAAATAACGATTTTGCGTTTTTCTAACGACGCTGTGCTAACAAGAGGATGAACAAATATGCCCAATGCTTACCAGTGAAAGGAACGAATCAAACCGACCATATGAATATGCGACAGACGCGCAGAAGTAAAGAGAGTTCTGTAGAACAGAATCCCCCATTGATACAATTTATCCACACTTACACAGCAATGCGGTTAACCGAGACCCAGACACCATTCAGAGGCGAAAACAAATGGAGTGGTGGATATGGGACGATCAGATGGGTAGTGCACATTCAGAAACAATGCGGTAAAGGTATTTCTACATTTTACCGAACAAACCTACTCAGCGAACGGTGTTTAAAACCGTGTTATCTTCTCATTGAAAACGGGACACGTGTTCTTATTGGATCTTGGTGCGCGATTCGTACGAGGGTGACCAGTTAAGCATACGTATGCCTGTCAGAGTCGTGGACTCAAGTTGCATAGAATTGTCTTTAATCGATCAGCTCGATGATATAAACCCTGTGTCGTTACCAAAGCGAATATTTTACTGCTTGTATTTGGTGGAGCGTCATTGCGCTGCTGTGGCACAATGGCATACCTGGTTTGCATGGCCCTTTCAAGGCCAGTCGCTCGTCCTTAGGGAATGCTTTCAGAAACTGCAACGTTCCATAACTAGCTCCTATTGTAGTTTTCTTTACAATGAAACTGTAATTAGCGCAGTTAACTATAACCTCTAGCTCGTTAAATATTGGGCCAACTGACAAAACGACGGCTCTGGCGTATTTTAACGCTTAAATCTCACCAAATTCATGCATTTTAAATGACGGTCGAACTAGCCTATCTTGTACACAGGGAGCGCCGTCATTGCCGAATAATTCGTGAGCGTAAGTTGCTGCTGCGCTCGTAGCTGCCATTATCGCTACTGCTTCGACGCGAGCAAAGTAACGACGGACTATAGTTTGCCTTTCATTAATTAGATGAGGATCCGTAATCTAAGATTCCATAAATTTACGGGGTTATTTGCCAATTTCTACGACAGTCATGAGCAGAGCTTTGTGTGTACAAATCGGAGGCCCTTACTAACTGTATGTGAAACACATGAGTCGATCGTCCCAAAGAATTCGCATTTCTGTACAATAAGCCCGAATGAACTGTTATGAGTGTCAAAACAGCTATTTTCCCTACAGAGGCTCATACGGGAGGTATACTACTTAGTCTAGGGGTGTCAAAACATATTGCAAGGTGGACCAGATATTGTGAGGTAAAAATATCTCGGGCCACATTCAGTCTGACAGCAAGATTATGACAAAAAGTACACATGCATGAAAAAAGTCCAATCCTGAATTCATTAGTTCATGATGAGGCCGCGGGCCAGGTGTAATGTTTTTGCGGGCCGCATTTAGCCCGCAGGCCGGAGTTTGGACATCCCTGACCTTCCCCTTCCGGCTGTTCAGCCTGCCAGTAGTCTAAAAGCTCACAAGCCTGCTTTGTAAACCGGAGGTCACGGGTTTGAGTCTGCGCAGGGGACTGGGCGACCCTTGCAGTATCCGTAGCCCAAGCGCGACCGTTGATGGTTATGCGGCAGCGAAGCGTCAGTACTGTGGAACGAGGTACTCCTGTTACCTTCAGCTATGCTGTCTGGCATACTCAAACCAGGCTAGGCATAAAATGCTTGATATGGTCAATCGTCGCGCCAGAATCAGCACAGCGAAGTCACAATCGATAGCGGACATCATGTTTGAAAAACTCGTTGTCAATCAACCAATGGTGCCACTTCGAATTCTCGCAAGATAGTGATTGTCATGTCCCATAAGGTTACTTGCTGAAGTTTGAATGTGGATCATATGCTTTGCAGCTCCTGAAAAGTGCAACTCAAATATGCTGCCCACTCTGGGGTGCAGTCTAAACTGTCCACCACACAAGCTCCGCTTTCGAAATTGTGTACGCTGGTTCCTTGTAAACGCCTCTCATATGTGGATAAATTCAGAGTGGGAAAGTATGCGCTCCCTTTTAACCAGTAGATTAACCGGTCTGAAAATGTCCAATGTCGTGGCACGAGCTTCGTAAACCCTACTTATACGACAGACAATGGTCACACATAAGATTGACTGACGGAAGGTATAGAGTGCTACCAGGAAGGGCTGGTTAGACAGAAACGATAGTAAACGTACCAGGATTCGACAGGGGTTGATCTTTTACGGCGAGAGCATCGCCAACACTGTCATGAATGTGGTCTACATGCCATGGTAGTTGCTTGGCCTCCAGATTGACTAACTTCTGCCTGTAAGCCCTCGTTCCGATCGACGGCAAACTCGATGGCTGGGATGCTGAAGGATCGACCACGGGGATGGATTCTTTGTCACTCAGGTGTAATACGGGATTAGTCCGCCAAAGTTTGCCAGGGGGGTTTGAATCATTCAAGAACTGAAGACAGAAAAATGGAGTAATGGTACTTTTACAACCCACTTCCTCTGTAACGAAGTGTGACTCAAGAATATCTTTAGCAAGTCAGTTTTAAGAACGAATATGTAAGGGCAGCAAAGAGCACAGGACTACAGATGGCCCTGATTGGGAACAAATGGTGATGGCACCGGGAACTGCGTGGTGTAACAGTGCAACCACTAAAAATCCGTGCCGTTTCAGAGTAGCCATATAAAATAGTGATTAAAAGTCTGCCCATAAGTGTTGTGATCCGAGCAAGGTCATTAACTTAAGAAGACTATATGGAACCCACACACTTAGTAAGCACCGTCACAAGGAAAGAACTATCACATCATTTCACGCAGCGAACGTAGACTGAAGACATCAAGTAAGCCACGACGAAGGTTGGGAAAGTCTAAGTGAGAAAAGAATTTATGAAATGGTTCATCTGTCACATGAAGCGAACAAATTGAAACAAAATCTGATCACACCCACCTCATCATTCAGGCCTGGATTGCGTGAACCAATTTCCTCGGACGATTTTCGCCATCCATTCACATCGTCAAGGAACACGGCGTATCGACGCTTGACGTCTTCACCATCCCGTTCGGCTGAATCCGTTTCCGGAACAGCCTTTCGACAAGAATCGCGTGTCGTATGAGCCCGCCGCAGTCGACAAGAGCCTACCAATGGGACCTCATTGATGCATCCGGATTGACTAGTCTCACGTTCAGTGGGCCATTCCTCCTTTGCCCCGAGCCTCTGGAATGAATTAAGCATAGGCGCTAAGTGTGGTCTCGGACCACTCATACTCTCGGACAGCAGCTCGTAATCATCGTTGGAATAAGTTGCAGCCTCCATCACAAACACTTTTCCAACTGTCTTCGGTGAGGGAAGCTGAATGGCTGGATGATCGGATGTTTGGAGGCTGAAACGAAGGATATGAGAATATCAAGTCAACCTGGGAATGCGCTTTGTCCAGCCAGGAAGGGGTGATTTACGAGCCATGCTAGAATTATACTTGTGCAAACATGGTGAATATGATGGGGTTGGCATTTATGGAATCACTGATAGCAGACTAACGGCACAGCTAACATAGTGGAATGAACTGCAAGCATTAGAAATCCTGCACGGACGGACAGAAGCCTCATATTCCACAACAAAACAAAACACACCATAGAGCTTCCTACCGGACGAACCTGGCCTATCAAGGCTCAGATCGCGAACAGGTGGTAGGCATATGGTCATCTATCTTGCGGACAATCAATGGTTGCGCTTCCGGGTAACGCTTTGTGCGGCACACGGAATACCCATTGGATCGAGTTAATCAGTATAGCTTTTCCTTGGGAAGAACGACAGCAAGTACATCGTGGGAGGGGAAAACCCGATGTTTTTGCAGTAGTTGAGCTGGGGAAAGTATGGAACGATCAAACGATCTTTCCCCCATTTCAAATGACATCAATTGTACAGACAAAAAACAGAAATTTATTCAACCGAGGCTGCGTTATCGATTCATTTAAAACAGCATACCAAATGCTACCGTTGTCTGTAGCTGGGGAAGCCACGTGATGTAACTCGTTGACGAATGACCGAGTTCGATAACATCGCTCACAAGCGCTAGGTGTTCAGCTTCATCCCATCCGTATTTGATACAGGGGAGGGAAAAAAGGGCTCCAGCCATAAATAGATAAGCATTGTTCCTTTGCCGTGTGAAGGTGAGCCCTCAAAATACATAAGCAGTAGGCGCCGTGCGCCGAATTCCCAAGGTATCGACAGTTAGTCCATTCTCGGGGATGCCCAGGAGATCGTACTCGTAGTGGCTGACAAGAACAAGATTAGTGTCCAGATGTCACTGAACCGCGAGGATCCACAACATGGCAGAGTTCCCTAGCGAGGCCTATATGAGCATCGGACTGATCCTGTAGTCCATAAAGTTTGTGATGCATCAAGTGAAGGACGCTTGCCGCCTGTACCCCTTGGTGTGAATGTTGACTTAAGCTGATGAGCGAAAGACGCTGAACTGTCTAGTAGAGTAAAAGATGACAAAAGTTTCGTTATAAAGGAGTATATCAGTGCTCTGCAAAGTGTGCAGATCATTCGGCCTACATTTGGATGATACATCCGTAGTTGACTAAATTTAAACGAAGTACCATAAGAAATGTTCCCCAATTAACTCTTGGTAGGATTAGATAAGAGGCGACGCGCATTTGTGTGGTGGTGTTGAGGAAAAGTCCTTACAGCCAAACGCTCACAAAATCACTGGACGGTAACACTGTTCTTACAACCCAGTAGGGCTGTTAGCGCTGTGCAGGAGCTGATGCTTGAAAGCGAAGAGGTCAGCTGAGAGATAGTGCACCACATTTTCCAGTGCCACACAGTGATGCTGTGTATGGGGAATGTGTAAGCACAATGCAACGTCTGCTCAAACTACATCACCAGTGAATACATCAGATCTAACGCGAACCGATGAAGTTGGGCCGGAACATGTCTAAGTATCTACATCTTCAGTGTTGGAAAATGGGGGCTTAATGTGATTGGCCCGGAAACCATGTTTAACGGACCTCACTCCTATTCATCGGACATTAGACTGACTTTGCTTTTGTAGGACACCTTTATACATTTTGTCACATAAGCTTTGCTAGAACATTACCCTAAGCAGCTGATATTGTTACCCGCTATATTGACCGTCATTGTAAAAGCTCCATACAACATACCATCGATCATCGAATTTTGAACGGTCTACCAGCTAAGGAGCATTACTGCTAAGCTTCCTCTGCTCTTCCGTGCTTACGTTGTGGGAGCACTTAAATACAACGTCTGGAATATATGTTTTCACTTCCTTTTGGCATCCGAGAACGACGGGGTATTCATTCCGAAATCCGCACTTAAGAAGCGCTTCAATAAAGTGGTGAACCCGACGTGGGCTCGGTGTTTCGGACTCAGCCCACATCATCCGGTGAGTCGTACTCACTTTCGTCGTTTTTTTATCATTTCATGTATGCAAATATGCCTGATCAGCAACCAGGGGAAATTAACACCGTAACTACCAGATATTTACCAACATTTTGGATACAATATCCCCAGCTTTGGTTACTTCAGGCCGAGTCATTTTGGTAATCAATCACATACATGAGGATGCCTTAAAGATTCATCATGTAATTTTCAGACTCCAACAAGAATTATTGCTCCTGTCATAGGATATTCTGAAAACTAGCCCTACGTACCAACAACTAAGGGATTTGTTGGTTCGCGAGCTTAGCCTTAGTGAGGGTAAGAGAGTACAACGCCTACTTAATGAAGTGCAACTAGGCGTTCGCACCCCTATGCAACTATTGCGAGCCATGCAAGCTCTCGTAAGTGAGAACGCTCCAGAGTGTTCCACTTTTAAGCAGCTATTTATGTAACGGCTCCCTAAACATGTACAACAGATAGTGGCTAATGCACATTAGGATACCGAACTGAGAGACTTCGCTATTATGGCTGATAAAATAACGGAGATACAATCACTAATGATCATAACTATATCGTCTCGTGCATCTGACGACCCACTCGTAAAAGCCGTGCACTCCCTGCAAGAACAACTGGCTTCCATTAGCATCATCAGACGAAAGAGCAACTCTCGATTTAAACAACGGCGTACTCTGAGGGTTAGTCGTTCCTGTGGCATTTGTTGGTACTACCGGAGGTTCCGTAACAGGGCTCAAAAATGCGTAGGGCCGTGTCGATTTTTCAACTCGGGAAACGAACATGCCAATACGTAATGGTGACGACGCAAGCTGGCATATGTGAGCCAGGTAGCCTCTCTTAGTTGGGGGACTTAAGATCTGGCTTGCGATTCCTCGTAGACTGGTGCCCAAGTTAGTGTGATTCCCCACGCCCGGAGGACTTGAGGTACTGTTCTGTATACAGCCTTCAGGCAGTAAACGGTACGCCAATCCGTACCTATGGAGAACGTTCTATCGCGCTGAACCTTGACCTCCGTAGGCTTTTCCCTTAGATTTTCCTTGTAGCTAAAGTGTCCACTGCAATCCTAGGTCTCGATTTCTTTCAGCATCATGGCACTATCGTAGCTCCCAAACGTTGTCAGATCATCGATGGCCTAACGCAACTAGAACAGACTGGCTTTAAAAGTTCCATTATGTCTGAGTCTGCAACCTGTCCTACCTCAAATCTTTCCAATGTATTTGGATCAGTCACGAGAAGTTACCATCAAAGGGTAGCCCGGACACCAACTTGGTGACACTAAGCATGAGATCGTCCACAGGATAACGACAGAAGGTAATCCGGTTTTCCATCGACCATGGCGATTAGCGCCAGAGAAAATTTCCGTAGCGAAAGCCAAATTCGACCGTCACAGTTGAGCATACTACGTCCATCCAGCAGTATGTGAGCATCGCCCCTACATATGATCACGAAGAATAAATCTGGAAATTGGAGACCTTGTGATGATTATCGGGGACTGAAGGCCATCACTGTCCCAGACAGGCATCCCATTCCGCATCTCCAGTATTTCTTATCCTCGCTGTACGGAAAGCAATAGTTCAGCAAGATAAATTTAGTGCGGGCATATCATCAAATACCCGTGTGTCCTCAAGGTGTTTCTAACACTGCCGTCACTACTCCCTTTGGCTCATTTGAGCTCTTGCGAATGCCATCTGGTCTCCGCAATGCGAATTAGACGTTCCAACGTTTCATGGACCAGGTCATTCGCGGGCTCGATTCCGTTTTCGTCTATATTGTCCATGTCTTGGTTGCAAGTCGGAATCAGGATGACCATTTGCGCAATCTGCGACAACTTTTTGAACGATTTGCGCATCATGGGGTAGTTATCACCACCGCCAAGAGTCAATTTGGAGTTGATATTGTAGACTTTCTTGGCCACCGTGTTTTCTCCGCCGAAACTGTACCCCAACCTGACAGTGACAGCCATTACTGAGTACCCCATCGCTGATTTCCTCGAAAGGTTACGCATGGTTAACTTTTACAGAGGATACATTCCGCACCGTTCAGAGTTAGCACAGTCATTTACTGAACTACCCAAAGTGAATGCTAAATCATTCAGCTTTACGGAATCAGCTAAACAAGCATTCAGTGATCTAAAACACTAGCTAGCAACTGCCACTCTCCTCGTGCAGTGAAACCCTAAGGTCCTCTTGCATTTAACGGTGGATGCTTCAGATGCAGGAGTAGGTGGTATGCTACAACAGCGACAGAGAGGTGAATTGTACCCGACTGCCATTTTCTTTAAGAAACTACAGCCTGCCGAACGACTCTATAGTCCGTTCAGCAGAGAACTCCCAGCTATTTACCTCAGTGTGCGTCATTTCCGGCATTAGTTGGAGGGACGTTCATTCATGATATTCACCGATCATAAGCCGTCAAAGTATGCACTCAGTTCTAATTGTGATCGTCCTCCCCCACGAGAAACTAGGCAACTAGATTACATTTCCCAATTTACCTTTAACATACGGCATTTGTCCAGTGCGAATAATCCCGTAGTAAATGCCTTATCCAGGGCGGAAATCAACATTTTATTTGTGTATTCCCCCACTGATCTCCAGGAAGTAGCAGCGGCACAGCGTCAGAATAAACAGTTCTTCCAACAACTGCAAAGAACCAATTTACAGATGAAACCCATTCCGCTGCTGATAGTTCCAAAGTCGTGACCTTGATTTGCGTGGCTTGCTTACCGCACAAACCTTGCTATGTCACTCTGTTGATTTGCGAAGACAATTTTTGTCTCACAGCCAAGTTCTTATATTCATGCGATTAAGGTGAACGAGTGCTATCCAGAATTACCAATTGATTGGATCTAAGATCAATGGTTCGTTATTCCTGATCCTCTTGCTATTTTGGGGCTTTCCCTGAGGGTGCACAGTTGCCAAACTTGATCATCTCGGAGTCCTACAAGGCTATTTCTTGTCTCAT